CTTTGGAAATGCTCATACAGTTATTGATAAGGTTCATTAAACAAAAGGAGGAAGGAGGAACAAAACAGACAACGAAAGGACTAACAATTCTTTCCTCTTACTGATAAATGCCTATTTGACTTGCCCAGCGTTATCTGGTAAGCTCATTTGATCTGAAGATCATCTGTAGTTATTACTCATCTCTCCCATGTAAGTCTGATGGTACTGGTACCACTATCAGCCATCCAGTGGTTTCCAAGACATTTCACTAAAAGCAAAAAATGGAAAGAGCTATTTCAGTCAAAGGGAACAGACCAACCTTTCTCACTCATCAAATATGGAGGAATGGTCAGGACTCGTAGACACCGTGTTCTAGTGCACAAGGTACACATTTAGTATATTTCTTCACCGACAAGGAAATGGTCGAGAAAGTTCTTACAGATGAAAGCGGTTTGCCTTCCAAAGTGTGGTTAATGTTGTATTTTGTTTTTCCCAAAACCTACCCCTCAGCTTTCTGTTCCTAAATGTAATAATATCGGAAAGAAAACTGTCACAAAGTCATAATTCAAACTTCTCTCTTCAGCTAGAGGGGCAGTGCTTTGTCTTCATTGTCTGAACTGAACAAAGTTGGCAATGAAAAAAAAAAGTTTATCTGAGTTAACCAGTAAATAATCATTTAAAATTGCACTTGCATTAGCTTATAGTCCACCGTAATAGGCAGTAGTGTAATGGGTGGTGAAATGTATTCACTTAATTATTGTGAAAAGAAGATATACTACTATTTGGCAAAAAGTGGTCCACTAATAATTAAATTTAACGCTAATTTAATATTTTTAGGGGGGCAAGGGGATGAAAGGGGATGCAGTCTTCTTAAGCTCTCTATCAGACTGAATCTACAGGGACTGTTTACATGCTAAGCTATGTTCACTTTTTTTTTTTATCCACTATGTTCATAAGTGATTAGCCCAGATTTTTTGGAAACTCACTGCATTACAGAAACAGAAGTTGCTCTGACTATCTTTTCTGTGGTACTTGGCATGCAGACAGCAAGAGCTTAAAGATTATGATGAGCAACATTTGGTAAAGAACATTATTTGTTTGTTAGTGGTCCAAATTTCTGGCGGATGGGGCTCATTTACTGTATATTAGAAAATCCATGTGAATTGTTTGTAAATTGCAGTGTAACAGACGGTGTTTACTCTTGGCAAATTACTCAAACAAAGCACAGACAGAAAGCTGCTTAAATACATTATATCTCAGGTAATATTTATCTCCAGCGACCATGCCTCAGTCTCACCAAAGCAAAAGTCCAACATCTTTTTCACTGATGCAAATATCTATGAGCAGGTCTGACCAGGTGCAACATCTTTAGTTGAAAAGTCCTGCTCTACTTGCAAGGATAAGGATAATTTTCTACTAATGGCTTTCTGTGAGATTTACACAAGATGTGATCAATATGTAAATGAAAGAGTACCCACTTAAACTAGTTGTGTAATCTGAAAGGAGCCTAAAAGCCTATGAACAGTTGTTTTCGCCCATAATCCCCTAAACGGTGGCATAGGTTAAGATAGAAGCTTTCAAAAGTGTCAGATGTTTCATATTTCATGCCTCTGTATGCTTGAGCCATCATGTTATGTCCTGTCATTTATGTATTTTAAACTTTAAGAGCTCAACAAAAGAGACAGCACTCCCAGGGTGAACAAAAACTGACCAGTGGAATAATTTAAATATAATGAAGGGACCTTGAACATTGAGCTGTGGGCTGAAAAAGTGATTTGTAAAGCTCAACCCTGACAATTCCCCTCTATATTACTCCAGGTAACATGTGACCTTCCAATAGTGACAACATTTGTTACACCCCAGACAATCTCTCGAGGGCTGATGTGGTAATGTGTCAGGCCTTTGGCTTACGTGAGGCCTGTAATGGGAACTGGCGATATGATGATGTGAAAATACACACAATCAATTGTTTTTTTTCTTTTAAATTTGTGTAACTTTTCCATCATTGTTATTATAATGCAGGTCTGGAAGTCTTGGTGGCAAATTAGAGATATTTTAGATTCAATGTTTAATGGTTCTTTGATTCTCAGTTGTTAACATATCCTGATGTTTTCTCTTTTAATCCATTCCATGTCCCACAATACCTTAGTTTCGCAAGCCATTCTAAAAATACATACTGTAGAAACTGAAACTGCTCACAGTTATAAACACACCTATATGTGTGTGTGTGATCGCAGAATTAAATACCACATATCAGGATTTTTTATTTTAATTTGGTTATTCTAGGATGGCTCCCTGCAAAGTGCTTTGAGAGTTTCTACACTCTTGCTGATCGCTCGATGTCAGCCCCATTGTGATCATTTTCACTTCCACATTTAAAAGCAACCTTGCAGCTTTAATTTTTCGGTGGTACGAGGGAAAAGTCAAACGCTTTATTCAATGTGCTCTGACCCTTTAAGACCTACCATAGAACCAAGTCCGCCAGAGCTTATATTATATTTTTACATGCTGTGGAGCCATTTTTGGGAGCATTTCAAGTTGCTATACATCAATACAACCATTATAGCCCAGATTTTAATAATATGTATTCATTAAGTGCATAGTAATTACATAAATTGCAAAAAAGTGCAATAAACTACAAAAAAATTAAATCGTTTTTGCTTTTTTAACATATATTTCTACTTGGAGAAATTTAAGAGGCTTATCCCTCAAAACTGTAAATACAAAAAAGTTGCACAAAATAGTTTCCCACCACAGGAAATTTATTTTGAGTGTCTTCATAGTTTTATTTTTGAAATACACCAATTTTTATACACTGCAGGAAAAACGAAAATAAATATTATACTGCAAATTTGCAAAAAAGCAGCATGTGCATCAAAATAAACTATTTCCAGCAGTGCAATATGAGTCCTAAGCATCCCAGAAACGACACAGAAAGTCATGAAGTCAAAGATTAAAAAGACCAGTATAGGCCCTGAGGCCCTGATGGTAAAAAAGACTACATTTCCGCGAAATGACGTCACTTCCGGTTTCGGGCAGGTAATGGCGGAAATGCAAAAGTTCGCGCTGATGTCTATTCCAACGTAGGAAGTGTTATGAACAGCTGATCGGATCGGCAAAGCGTGTTTCTGGAATATTATGTTTTTGTTGCTGCAAGCGCTTTCTATGCAGTTTTTGCAAAGCTTTATGTGGAAGGAAACCGTTACCTAGGACAAGCTAATGGCATAAGATGTAAGTACAACTCCTCCGGTTTCATATGCAAAAAAAATTTTTGCGCTAGCTCACGTGGTTGCAGTGCTACCGGGATTTAAAAATAGTTACGCAAAACAGAGCGTGCCCGCTCCGACCGGCTCTAAAGGGCTAAGCAGCCACACAAGGATGTGTGGCAAAATTTAGGTTCTTTGCTTTAAATTTCCCAAATCAAATCCCTCAGCTTCATGGAGCTGACATCAGATGAGATGAGATGGTGTATATTTATGCCAAAGCCGGGAAATTATTTTCTTTTTTTTTTACATCAGGTAAATTTTAAGTTACACCACAATCTTTTTTTAACCAAGAGAATATAAATATAAATAACAATCAAAGAAAAAACAAGCATCTTCCTGGTCATCTGAACAATACCAAACTATTGTTTGGTCTCTGAATTGTTGCCTGGAAGCCCATCTCTAATCATTAGAAATGGTTCTGAACATGAAGGTTGAATCAATTTTATACAGAAGTTGATTTTTGCCCCCAGAAGTTTGAAGTAGTAGTGTCTTTACTAAGCAATCTAAATGCAGCAAGAGCACTGAAATCCTTACCAAGCATCACAAGAATCCAAAAAACCCCCAAAAGATTTCACATTTATTATCAACACAATATGCTTAAGATAGAGTGACATTATTCTTACTGAAGTTTCCTGTACTGGGTTATGTAAATGTATTTAAACAAAGGAGTATAACTGCCTTAACATTGCAGATTTGATGAAAAAATACACAAAATACACAGTTTGCCCAGTATGGTTTAGGATGGGATAAAGGGACCCACAGTTGTTGTCAAATTATGATCTCTGAGTTCATTCTCCACAGTTCTTCTGTCAGCCCCTGAAGAGGTTACCATGGAGACAGTAGAACGTGTCTATGTGTGTGTATGCGTGTTGGAAGAGATAGGGAGGGGAGTTCCTAACACTGAGCAGTACTTGGTAATTGGCAGATTATCAGAAGACAGAGGTTACTGTAGCCCCGGAGAAGGTTCACAGCTCCAACTTTATAAACAACACACCCTCAAATTGCTATCCCTATCCAGAGGAGCGGGTGGGTTGGAGGACCACAAATGGGAAAAATAGCCGCAAAACCAAGCACTAAATAGTGTGAGCAGAAAATAGCTGGCGGCAGCCTCTCACCCATTCTCCCATAATAGCTTGACTGGAAGGGGGTGGCAGATTGCTCAGGGGACAGATCCCAACAGCCAGCAGGGACAGTGACAGTGTGAGGAAGACGGAGCCCTCAAAAAGCTGCGCTCTGACAGATTGAGGAAAGAATTCTGTTTTCCACAGCTACTTTTTGGAAGGGGGATGAGCGCCATGGAAGGTCAGAGTCAAAACAAATATGGACACCAATCTGTTGTTGTTTGAGTCCATTTTAGAGATTATTTTTCTTTTCTCAGTTGTATGAAGGTAGATATGTAGTTTTTCAGTACGCATCGCTCTAGGCCTGTGCTCGTAATCTTTCACTTTGTTCTACCACAACAGCTCTGACTCATGGAAAGAACACCTTTGTCTCAACCCGGTTTGATAGCTGGATATGGATCACACTTGTTCCAGTGCATCCTGTAGATCAGGAGTGTCGAACTCCGGGCCTCGAGGGCCGCCATCCTGCAGGTTCTACATCTCACCCTGGGTCAACACACCTGAATCAAATGATTAGTTCATTACCAGGCCTCTGGAGAACTTCAAGACATGTTGAGGAGGTCATTTAGCCATTTAAATCAGCTGTGTTGGAACAAGGACACATCTAAAACCTGAAGGACACCGGCCCTCGAGACCTGAAGTTCGACACCTGTGCTGTAGATGTTCTGTTCAAACAAATATGGATACCACAAAACCAGTGTGGGTTTGGTTTTGTGCGATGGTGAGGCCATTGCAGTCATGGAGATCCATGGTTATGGTGAGTGTGCTTGGTCTACAACATTGTGTAGTCGTAGCATCCACATGAATACCAGGATCCAAGGTTTCCAAAATTGATATTGCACTGTAAAGAAATTATGGCTGTTATTCACTTCACCTACAATTTTTTTTGTTGTTGTATCTGTGTATCCATGTATCAGTATCAATATTTCTTATGCTAGTGGTAACAAATAGGATGAGGATTCCAAGCCAGCAAGCCCCAGTCTAAATAATGTAAGTTTTAATTATTAAATAATATTTTGTTTACAGTTTTTTATGATTAAACAAATTCGTTCAACATGTTTGATAGATTTGAAGTACAAACACAAATCATTTTATCAGTGGAAACCTTTGCTTTTTAATGGAAAACTCGTTTAACTTTTTAGCTAATATTATCGTAAAGAATAGAGCAACATAGAAACTTCCTGAATAAATGCAAAAAGTGCATCACAATTACTAATTTTTTGTGTCTCTTCTTAAACCAACAGGCCACACTGAAGAAAGGTTCTGCTGGTTTGAAGATGTGAGGCATAATATTCCAACACAAAGATTAAAAAGACCATTATGATACCTGGAAATGCTTGTAAAATGATCCCAGATGAACATAAACACCCACACAACCCATACCAAATGACTTATCCATATGGAGCCAAGTTTGATGTATTGAAACCATGAAACAGTGACGAATAAATTGCCATACCAAACGGGTGCTGTGGAAATGTAAATGGCACCTCTGATTCAACTGGACACAGATTACACACTGACGTTAATGTGCGATGCTCTCATGTTCCCTGTCTGCGTCTGTTAGCTAATAGCTTAAACGGGCAGCAGAGTTTTAATTCTTGAATATTTCTATGACCACACATGGGTTATTCTGAAGTTGACCTAGAAGTTTTTATATTGCTGAGGGAAAAAACAAATAAAAAAACTGTTAGTAGTGCTAACATTATCCAAGAACTCATTGTCATCATCCAAAGAACTGCAGCTACATTTGCTAACAGCTTAACAATAAGTACTGTGCATGTAATGACCAGCCTTCCAACCTGATAAATGGATGAGCATTTCCCAATGATGTGTTTCTTCAAATGCGTACTTTGTCCTCTTTTGCCAAATAATATTTTTTGTTTCATCTCTGTGCACTGACCCCCATACCTCTGCAAACTATGAAGAATAAACAGATACAGACACAGGTACAGGCGCCTGCGTGTGCACACACACATATACACACAGATACACACACAAACACACACACACACACACTGTTCAAATTCATAATCACAAGAGTTGACAATCAGCATAAAAAGGAGATTATGTGCAGTGCTGAGAGTGGGTGGGAGTCACACTCACATGCAGATGGCATCATTTTATGTCCATTGCAGCAGTTGCTTTGAAATGGCTAACAGAGGGGGGTTAGGCTGATACACTCCCCGTTCAAAGGGAACTGTTGTTGGCTGTGTGCCCCAAGGCCAGCAGAGTATCTCATAGCAGGATAATGAGACTTTAAAATCCAAACTCTTATTAATTTACTATTAACATCAAAAGTGTGGAGATGTTAGTATCACACTATCGCTCAGAAGGGAGGGAGTGGGTAGGTCTGTAGATACTGATATGGTTTGTTTGGATTTCAAGGTTTTAAGAGGCAGCAGATAAAGCTGAGTTCATTGAAGGGTGCAAATGAATGTTTGCTCTGGTCCGTTGAGAGGCAACAGAGAGAGAAAATGTACAAGGGTATTTCTGTGATGGAAAAAAAATAACTGAGCATAATTAAAAAATATATATCGTTTTTTCTTTCTGAAAAAAATCCATTTTGGTGAGTCTGATTAAAATATTTTAGCAGTCAGCCAAAAGAGAAAAGAGAAACTGTCCTGCTTTAGGTGAGGATCTTTACATCAGTGGATCAATTTCATTACTATGCTAATCCTTTAATTGTTATTCTGACTAATCAATAGCCAAAATATAGCACTGTCATATCAGTTGCAGATCACCAGACATGAACACCTGAGCTCTGCCTCCGGCATCACTGCCTCAGCTGTCCAGGACACAAACACATTAGGACTGTGAAGCAGCATCCTGCAGTGCTACACTTTGGAGTGGTTCCTCTACATGCAGAACATGGCTGCATGGACTCCACGATATAGTGGATGTATAAGTAACAAGCTGCGATCTGACGATTTGTCTGATGATATGGACATTTCTAGACAATGCCAGTACTTAATGTATGCACAAGCTAATATGCTGACCGTAAGTCTGGTATGTGCACTGTTCCAGTCAAGGTTGGACTCTTCAAAGCCTTCTTCCAATCTGGCACATAATGATGGAATGCGGTTGATGCTGAAGTTGCTAAGGTGGGCCAGTGCAAGCCAAATGTTTGTTAGTGTTGGACAGTGATGGGAATAACGGCGTTACAAGTAACGGCATTACTAACGGCGTTACTTTTTTCAGTAACGAGTAATCTAACGAATTACAGTTTCTATCGTTACAACGCCGTTGCCGTTACTAAGAAGAAAATGCAAGACACTTCACCCGTTGCCTACTGGTGGTGGTCAGAGGGCCCGGTGGCGCCAGTGTCCAGCAGCCTCGCCTCTGTCAGTGCGCCCCAGGGCAGCTGTGGCTACAATGTAGCTGCCATCACCAGTGTGTGAATGTGTATGTGAATGGGTGGATGACTGAATGTAAAGCGCTTTGGGGTCTTTAGGGACTATGTAAAGCGCTATACAAATACGGGCCATTTACTTTTAGAATCTTGTAACTCAGTTACTAACTCGGTTACTTTTTTGAAGAAGTAACTAGTAACTATAATTAATTACTTTTTCAAAGTAACTTGCCCAACACTGGTGTTGGACTACCTACCTGTTATGCTATATTTCACAATCTGATGCACAGTAGTGTAAAGGACTCCAGAAATAGTATAATTACATCTCTGACTGACTCTACACTAAGTTCAGTTAGGTTGTATTGTGTAATATTGTGGAATTTGTTTTAAATTTTCTTTTCTTTTTTTGTATTTTGCATGTATTTATTTTATTTGCTATGGACCCGTGTGTGTGTCTTTAATAAAGTAAAGTGAGTAAGTGAGTAACTTAAGGTCATAACTGAGACAAGGCTATAATAATTAAACTATTATATTTCATCACTGGAAGAGATTTTTGTGTTAAAACCCAGACGAAGTCCTTCTGTGTGCCTTTTTCAGACTTTCCCTGCACTCATACATGCCGTTTAAAAACATACGACACTAATATTACCTATCCTTGGCCCAAGACGTTTTCAGACCAACAAACAAATGTGATTAAATTTTTAAAAAATAATCTCAAGATTGGTGGGCAGCACGGTGGCACAGTGGTTAGCACTGTTGCCGCACAGCAAGAAGGTTCTGAGTTCAATTCCACCATCAGGCCGGGGTCTTTCTGTGTGGAGTTTGCATGTTCTCCCCGTGTTTGCGTGGGTTCTCTCCTGGTACTCCGGCTTCCTCCTACTGTCCAAAGACATGCAGCTTGTGGGGATAGGTTAATTGGATAATCCAAATTGCCACTAGGTGTGAATGTGAATGTGAGTGTGAATGGTTGTCTGTCCCTGTGTGTTAGCCCTGCGACAGACTGGCGACCTGTCCAGGGTGTACCCCGCCTCTCGCCCTATGACAGCTGGGATAGGCTCCAGCATCCCCCGCGACCCTGAAAAGGATAAGCGGAAGCGAATGGATGGATGGAATCTCAAGATTGTCCACAATATGACTATGTAATGGCATTTTTTAAGAGAGATGAGAAGGTGACTGGTGTAAAATAACTTCATGCCATGCTGGTTTTTGTTCCTCTTTAACGTTTGTGTCACCAGCCACTGTTGTTGCCTGCAAAAATAAGTGCATTTATACAAGTTCCTGCAGGATGCATGAACAGACACACACTCTAAAGCTTGAACGTACAGTTTTACATTTGGTCTTTTTTCTCTTTCCAGCGGTTCAGACCGCGCAGCCAAGAGCAGGGGTCAGCTTTTATGGATGTGAGATAATTGAAAACGATAAATACGGCCTTAAAAGCAAGGAAAATAAACTCAGCCCTTCAGTAGATTTAATGTTCAGCCAAGCAGCAACATTGGCACAGAGTCAGTGGACGGGATTGCCAAGAAACACACCTGGGTGCTGATGTGTTTCCACACATACACACACTCAAAACACACACAGCTTTGTGTCCATGAATTCAGAGGACATTACATCAACTTGCATTAGTGTTCTGGTCTTTAAATTGAGAGATTTTTCATGGGGATTTGCTTTTTGTCATCATGAGGAACAGACATCCCTGTGGCATGACTGTGTAAACAATTTAGGGCCTCAAATCATCACCGATACTTGTAACACTATGAACCTGGATGGACAGCTGACCCTCTAAGGGTCAGTCTTTATGAGAACACGCACCACAACCTTGTTGAACAAGACAGTTCTGAGCATTACACCGAATTAAAACTCTGAGGAAGAGATAAGTCTTAACTCTGTGTTTTTATAACATGAGTTCTTGAATCTAAATTGTGTTTTTCTTTTTAATTTTGAATGTATTTAAGTTTTAAAATTCTAAGACAATTCTGAAAACAGCAGTGGTGTCAAATAAAACAATGATGCAAACAGCAAGGGCAAAGAAAATAAAACACACTGGAATCAAAGTAGTCAAACTGCATCCCTGTATTAGTCTTCATATTTAGTATATAGTAGATGGTAGGTAATTTCACCTTCCAACTTTAAAGAAGGTAAACTACATCAAGCTTGTTTTTTTTATTAAAAGGGAATAGAAAGTCTTTGTTGTGATTGTTTGTATGGGTTGTGTCTCACACACTTGAAAGGTGAAACTATAAACATTAAAGTCATTTAAAGGAAAATGAAAAATCCTCATCAGTCTATCTTTGGGTGAGTGCATGTTTAGGGGAACCAATAAGTGCCTCGTGGCCGTTAAATGTATAAAGTAGCATCTGCTTCTCTGCATGCTAAATAGTTTAATAGCGAGATAGGCACCAGTACGGATGCCACCAGGGAGCCTCCCTTATACTAGGCATAAACAAATGGGAGAAAACCTCAAACAGACCCAATGCCTGCGTGAGATGGCGTTGCCGCGTGCTCTAGCTAGTCTGGGAGCACCTTCCTACATCCTGCATCTGGAAGATGCAGAGGGAACAGGCACCTGGGATGATCTGCTTACAGCTGTCCTGGGATGTTCTGCTTGCCCAGCTGTGACTGTGAACCTAAACCTGCAAAAAGAAAAACAGATGGATGATTAGAACATAAAGCAGCAAACACTTTTCTTATGGCTTCACAGAAAATCCTTGTTGAATTAAGTTTTTCTTGTCTGAAACCCAATTTATTTTCACTTCTAAAAGCATGACGATTCCCAGCAGGAAAATTAGATTGTAAACAATCCTAATGGCTTTTTAAACCTAAGTACAAAATCTAATGGGACACATGAAAAATATCTGCCACATAGCTGGGAAACAGGGCTGTATCACTATTTTTAGATTTTGTACCTCATTTCTGCCAGTAAGAAAGCTTTTGTATGAAGTTGAACTCACTTTGAACTTTTAGCAAAAGTTTGCACTGCATTTTATGTAACATTAAATAGACTGCTAAAGACGTGAGTCATTAGCTGCTAGAAAACATGGCAAAAAAAAGGCGGATCACAAATGAAAACACAAGCAAACGTATTGGTTATAATAATATCATGCTATAAATTTCTAATTATGCTAGATTGGGTTGGCTTAAGGCTTGCTTGCAAAAATGTTTTGCTCATTTAAACTCTCTAAGCACTAACACTGAGCATCAAGACTTTGTCAGGAATTAGATTAAATTATCATGAAGGTCCTTTGACATCCACACTTGCTAAATATTTGGAGACAAAATATTTAATTATGAATTAAACACTGTTAATCCAGCGGTAATGAGATAATAGTAACACGAGGCGACTAAATTAAAAGACACAATTTATCATCCCCCAGGGATCAATAAAGTATTCTGATTCTGATCACTACATATTAAAATGTGACATTAACCCTATCTCGTTCAC